AAGTGAAGAAAAAGGAAAATAACCAAATACTGCAGCCTCTGAATGCTTACAAGTGTTCTTATGCAGCAAAGTTTAGGGCTGGGAGGTAAGGAAAGGTGACTTTTCAGAAGACCTGATCGAGAGATCCTTCCAGGAGCACTGACCACCGTGAAGCAGCAGTCAGCTATTGGCCCCGCAACAGAGGAGCCTGCACTCAGTCCCCCAAGGCTGCACCACACGGTCTCACTTTTACTGTTGCTTCAAGTGGTGATGAAATAGCTCAAAACTAAGGATTTACATCCCTATTTTGCAAAACTGTGCTCCACAGTATGGCTGCAAAGCAGTGGGAACCATAAGGGACTTCTTCAGGCAATACGTGCAGTGGTATCTTAGACCTGGTGGTATTTTCACCTTGCACTCAAAATTAGGTCTGCACCACACAGCAAAAATAATGGCAAAATACATATAAAGCAGAAAATTCCTAATGAGATTTAAAACCATTACTGTGTCGATCTACCTTGTATAATTGAAACATGTTTTAAACAGAAACAGCAACCAATCATTCACCCGGTGGTTATTAGATAAGTGTAGGAAATTAGATGACAATTATTTCCTATACTAATACGATCCAGTGTTCATTAATCTGAACTCCTAAACTGGCTTTTATTCATACAGTAGAATTAATGTCTTCATTATCATACTATCAATGACCTCTGATATTATACATGCTATCAGTTTTAATAAAATAAAGTACTTAACACCATTTTTGTTCTCTCATCTTTTCATTCACATGCTAATAGATATCTGATATTATATACATTTGTCAGTAAGTAAAACCATACAGCAAAGAAATCTGTATTTCTTGTGCTCCCTGCAGCCAGGTATTTCAGCATTGGTAATATTTACAGAAAGTCAGTTTTGCAGTTTTACATATGACTGCGTAGGCAATGCAAACATGGGACAAGCAACAAAATTAAAGAGAGGCGCTACCCCTTGCCACTCACCTTCAATTCATCCATCTCCTTTCCCCACAAACACACGGAGAAAAAGACAACAAGCCAAAAAAAAAAAGCTGTTTTATACTGTGTTTAAAAGGCTGACTAATCTCTGGTTTGGCACACCAAAGACCAGGGCAAGAACAAGCACTTTCGTTTTCATGTCAGCTCCCACAACACTCCAATGGAATTGCATAGGGAGATTTTTCTTTCCTTTGCTTCTAATAAATGGGTGTTGTGTTTACATACTGCATACCGAGCATTGCCCATCCGAAGCCAAGGGCTGCATCTTGCCAACTCTTAACTTTCATACAATATGGTGATTACATGAGCCAGCATACCATTAAATCACATAACAAAACTTGGAGAATGGCACTGTCAGCTTGCAGAACCGTACCTGAAGGACTGACATGCAGTGCATAAAGGGAAAAACTAGATTTCAGAATAGTGGCAGAATTGGGTCAGGAGAAGACTGGGTTACTGGCCGTGCTTTAAACCACAAAGTAAGGTGCCAAATAGTTCACATAGAGATAAAAACTTGCAGGCACATAATAAAAACAGGTGAAGAAAAGAAATAAATAAAAATATCACTAAATATGCCTTACAAAATGCTCCCCCAGCCTTGAATCTTTCAGATCGCCTGCTGTCTATTCTCCATATGACTCCGTATTCCAGGATGTTCTTCCCAGCTGCAGTACTTGCAATCTGGTTTCCCTTGGGCAGAGTCAAAACCAGGGGAACAGAGGAGACCTTAGTCCATTACTTAACATTAATAGCACAGCATCTTTCTGGCTACAGCAAATTCTCCCTTTCTATTTAATGAGAAGAAGATCTATACCTACCATGAGCTCCAAATAACTTCCAGTGCCTAGTGTTCATTTTTTGCAGAACTAGCAAGAAAGACGGATGATCAGAAGTCACTATTTCCCCTAAAAGCAAGCTCACACCAAGGTATCAGGTATCTGATTTGCATTTCTGATTTAGCCTGCTGATATGAGACTAGAAATGCCAATTGGAATATTAATTATTTTTCCAGATACCAATCCAAAATAATTTCTACAGAGGCTTCCACTTTAGTGCCACACAGATGAAGATAGGACAACCTCAGATAGTAATTTAACCGCCAACAGCAATGCACACGTTCAGAGGTAGAAATCTGTGCTGAAATCTAAGACACTTTTAATACCGAGGTTTCTAAGAGGATGCACATCTAACTCACCGCAGGAGATCAAGCACCTGAACCGTGTATATGTGATAGCTTATCAGCCTTCAGAGCTTCCCCATAGGTGACCCCTCTTTGCCACATATTTCTTAGTAACTTAATCCTATTTAGATTGTCTTCAAATCATGCAAAGAACAAGCAAATCAGAAAAGTGCTACATGTTTTTTCAAGATCATATCACACTGGCATCACTCACCCTGCTTTATTCAAATTGTAAAAGGCTGTCCAGGAATCAGTGACATTTTATTTGTTGTCATATTAGCATGCAAAAGGACATAAACTCACTTCTGATTAATAGTTTTAATTACTAAGTATATAAGCCTACAAATCCTCTCATCCAAGTAATCCTTCAATAAGATTAATTCATGGAAATAGCCCCATTGAAAAAGGATTTGTATGACTGAACCCTAAATGTTTAATCGCTTCTTTAAAGAAATCATGACTTAAAAAGAAAAACCCAGGTGTTAGTATGTTTAAAACAGGGGGGTTATATACCCATCAAACCACAGAGTTTCATAAACATCACTTCTAGGACTGACACTGTTGGGGAATGTGCTTCTGCAGTTCCCGTCGTCAGGTTAAGATTGATTTAAATAAACAGACCAACTTGATCACGTTGAGTTTAGTGCTCAGCACGACTCTTTTCTTTCAGCACTTTGGTTGTACTGACGTATGACTCAGCTACTCCTTCAGCTGCACTAGTTATATATTATCACTGTGCAACATTACCTCAAATATCAAAATCCCTGATTTATTTTAAACACTATCCAGGCATTGCCAAGTGTTTGCAAGGCTCAGTGAGTGTGTGGTTCTTGCTTTCTGTACTATAGCAGAATATTTTATTGTAAGAAATATTAACTTATTTCCTGGTTTTCCAATCTTGTTCTTTTCACTATGACAGCTACTGGTCTAGACAATGACAGAAGGAGCCACAGGAGAGCCTATAGATTAAGATTTACTTAAATGTGTCGAGTGCCCCCATGTGCTTAAGTCCTCTTTCTTGTACCCACTTCACTTGCTCTCTCTTTGCACAGGGTCTTCATGGTTTTAATGACAAGTCCTCTTGAAAGCATCTCCTGCTCTGATCCCCTTGAAATGATTAATGGTTTGGTATCACATTTGTTTGCTACTCCTTAAAATATAGGAAACAACCCTTTGGAGAACTAGGAGTCTGTCAGTGCCTCCAAAAAGCAGGAAGCATAACTGCTTGAAGGCTGACAGACGCTTCACCACCATGACAAGAAGCTGTTCCACAGGCTACAGCTTGTGAGCCCCTGAGTCAAGCCATATGGTCCTGAATGCCAAGACTGCCTGTCTTTCCCAGTTTACTGGGAGAGAAGGATTGTTTCTGCTTTGCTCTGAATTTGCAAAAATAGCGTGTTGATTTTTAAAAGTTTACAGTTCAAATGTAAGAAAATGCTTGACTGCTTCCACTCATAAATTCTCATTCGTAAACACAAACATGGCTCTAAGACTTCAAGAGACTCTTCATAATTAATAGTCGGTTCAGAATATTTAAATAATTGTCTGTACAGGGTCTGAAACATCTTTGTTCAAGGCATCTGTGGTAATCTAATGTGAATAATAGCAACGGATATACATTGTTAAAATTCGGAGCTGATAATTTAAGATAAAATCCTGTTGTGCTTCAGCACCACAAAAATTAAATCTCTAAGTTTTAAGTTCTTAGGCATGGGTACATTCTCCAGAGCTTTGGCCAGGTGAAATTTAAATATTTCAGAAAGCAAGTATTTCTAATTCCTCTCATCACTTGAAAAATAATTTAACTACCCAAAATACTTCGGTAAGGTGTTTTAATTCTTTTTTTTTTTTTTTAAATATGTTTTATGTCGTTTCCAGTGACTGTATTCTGAAGTGTCTTCACCAGTGTGTAGGCGACCCAGCAATTGCCAAGAAACAGACGAAGGCAAAACGTATCTCGCTTCTAACCCAGAAACGTAGGAGGAGGGAAAAGCCCCCAGCGCAGAAGCAGCGGTGTGCGTGTCCATGCATTGTTCTCTCCCGGAGCAGTTCTGGCTCTCGCTGGGGTCTGCCAGGATAAAGAGTATCGACACCTTGCGAAGTCCAGCCTTGAACTTTCTCCCGTTAGAGTTTCCTTGAGCCGCTTCTTGTTACCATTTTCCACTCATGTCTGTCCCTTGCTTCCTTCTAAAAAACGCACAGCATAGTGGCCGCAATCACTACAGAACCTGCAGAAATAATGGCAGGGGCCCCCGCAGCGGCACTGAGCGGCACTTCCCGGCGGGATGCCGGAGGACGAAGGGCGAAATGCCGGGATTCCCACAGCACCCGCCCGGCGCCGCACGCTGGAGCGGCGTGCGGGGAGACAGCGGGAACCGCAGCCACCACACTGCTGCCCCCGATTATTTCATGTTCTCGCACTCGACAGGGTAACACAGACAACTGATTTACCACGGCAATTTTTCCCAGCGCCTTCCCAGATCTCTCAAGTCTCGGCCGCCGGTCCGGCCGCTTGCTGCAACTTTTCCACGGAATGCGGAACGCCGAGGGCAAGACCGGGCGGTAATTTTTTTCCTCCCCTTCACCTCGCTCCCCCGACCAGTTCCCCGGCGGCAGCGGATCCCACCCCCGGCGGGCACCCCCCACCTCTCGGACAGCTCGGGAGCCGCCGCCGCGAACGCGCACTCCCAGCCCGGCCGCTGCCCCAGCCCGGCCCCGCTCCGCTCTGCGCCGGCGGCCCCGGCCCCGCTCCGCCGGGAGCCGCGGGGCAGCCCCGCCCGCGGGCAGGTGGGTGCCCCCCGCCGCCGCCCGGCCGCACTCACTTGTGCCTTCTTCATAAGGAACGGCAGCGCTGCAGTCCAGCCCAGCCGGCCGTGTGCAAACTCCCTTCAGCGGAACTGTAGCTCCAGCATAATGCAGCAGCCGATAGTCCACGCATTGGGGTTGCCCACGGCGAGCCCCGCGCTGCCTCCGCCTGTCCCGCCGCCGCTCCGCGCGCCCCGCTGCGCCCCGTCCCCACGGCCTGAGCGTCCTTGCTCACTGAAGCCACCGCCGGCCCCCGGCCAGGTCTTTTATATCTCCGATCTGCCTCCAACAGCGGCGGCGGCAGCAGCCCAGGCAGGACACGCCTTTCCCCTCCCTCCCGCCCTCCCGGAGGACCGGGAGCCCAGGCAGACCCTGCGGGGCGGGGGAAACCCGAGTTAACTTGGGGCAAGTTGGAGGCAGGAACAAGCCGAGCCTGCCCCTCGCCAGCGCCGGAGGGGAGCGGGGCCGCGGGCGGGCCCCCGCGGGGAGCGGCGGGCGGGGATGAGGAGAGAGAAGGGTGTGGGTATGCAGGGCGATGGGCAGCGGCCCCGAGGGGCTGGTGCGGCGGGCTCCTGCCGCCCGGTGCCGGGGCTTTGGCGGTGCCCGGGACAGGCGATCCCGGCCGAGCACGGGGAGAGGGGCGGGGGGCTCCGGCCCTGCCCGCCTGGGTTCTGGCAGCGTTCAGGAAAGCCGTGCGCCGCCGCGGCATTTGAGGTCAGCCAGGATGCGGGCGCCGAGCCAAGCCCTTGGGTTGGGTCCCCGCACCCACGCCGGTGAAAAGGGGGATGCCCCACGGCTGAACCCGCCGCCGGGCGCCGCCTCGGCCCGCGGCAGGGAGGGCAGCGGGCTCGGAGGCTGGCGGGGCTCCCAGCCGCGTCCCGGTGTTCCCAGCGCTGCAGCCGCTGCAGCGGCGCGCACAGCCGAGGTGGCAGCTCGGGTTTGCCTTTGCCATTGCCATTCCAGTGCTGCTTTTCCATACTCGGTGAATGCAAGTTTAGCACTGGGATAAGCATTTCAGCTGGAGCTAAGAAACTCCTTTTACCTGCTCCAGACACAGAAAAATTGTTGAGCAGTGCCTCCTAACGCTTCTGCAAAGGTGATCCTGCGGGTCTTTTCACATGTTATTACAATTTGCATCCCGTGTAAATAACGCTTTAGTATTGGGCGTGGAAAAACAACTTGACTTACTGCTTGGAGTCATCTGGCCAATCCAGCAGTAGCCACAGAATTTGAGTCCTCTTTAGAGAACGCAGCTCTCGAGGTTAATATGGATTACATTTTGTGTGTGAATTAAATGGAATTTAACTAAGTATGTGAAAATTTAAAGAACAATAAAAAGAGGGAAGAATAGTCTACCCCAGTCAATAGTCATGTCCTAGAGGACATTAGGCATGCTCAGAGTGCACAGTAAGAGATTTCATTAGAAAAGTCTGTTTAATTTTCACCTAGAATTAATGATAAGTTTTTTAAAGACTTGATACCAAAGTAAAGGTGAGCTCTTCGGGTACAGAAATGTTTTGAACTCATCCCCAGCTTTACTATATATTTGGAGTTCATCAGATAAACATCTAATACCACTTTGCAGATAAACATCTAATATAATTTTTCTTCTGCAACCAATCCAGAAAAATGGGTCAATAATTTTCTTTTACAGCTTGACAGTACTGAGGGATTCATTCCTTTTTTGTTGGAGTTTTTTGGGGTTTTTTTTTGTATTATATGATTATTACTGAGCTGAATTTGTCAGACTTTTATATGCATAAAGTAATAATAGTCTCTTCTCTAAAGCAATAGACAAGCAGTGAATAGACAAGTTTGTAGCAACAAAAGAAATCAAGGATCTCATTCACTGAAAGGGTGGTTTGTGTCATCTAGCAGTGATCAACCAAAGCTGTCTCACGTTTAGCAAATAGGGCCAGGAAATTAAAATGTTATGGCACATTTCCTCTTTAGAATAGATGACCAGTTTAGTCTCCTGGGGAGAAGGTCTGGAAAGTGTGAAAGAGCAGTCTGTCACAGCAGTTACCTATCTTATGGAGGACACTTCTGGTCTTTCTTTATGTTGAACTCTATCACAGTTCACCGTTAGTCATGACAGGAAAACTTTAGTGGATGCCCTATATCCAGTTACCTTACTGGTAGTTGTGCAGAGAGAATAACACTCTTGGTAACATTCTTGGCATAACTGGGCCTAATTAAGTTTCTTTACCACCCTGGCATCATGCACCTTTTCTCTCCATCTTCAATCCGATTTCTTGAATCTGCCCTTGCATTTAACACCCAACTATAGTGGAGTAGTGCTCTTTTCATCTCTTCCTTTTGTGTTGGCAATTTTCAAGTGTATTGCTGCAGACACTGTCCTCAGTTTGGTTTGGGAAGACTTTTCTATCAATATTTAATAGTTTAAACTCATTAATATCTTATCTCTGTATCCCATAAGAAAACATGTTTTTATTAGTCTTGCCCATTTCCAACAGAGTACCAACTTTGGATTTCCCAGGGGACAACTGATTAACCATGAACCGTTAGTGCATTGACTGGTAGCTTTCTAAAGCACAACTGCAAAACACATTCAGTCTTCTTTCTATGGCCTACCTTATTTGCATTTCTAAATGCTTGGGGGTGAACACAGGCCCTGTCATAGTTTTATGAAAACCTGTTCCTTCACAAGGAGGGTATGGAAAACAGTGTTAGTTATTCCAGCTCTTCATAGGATTTAGCTCCACCCATTCAGCAGGATTGTCCTCACCAGGAATACTGTTCAGCCTATATGGAAATACTAGCAACTGAGAATTACGCCTTTCCAGTCTGATGTGAATGGAAAAGCCTCACCATCTTTACCATCTGAGAAATGGTTGTTAAATGGCTCTTAAGTGTTTGGGGTTTTTTTATTCTGGAATTTTATTGAATATCTGCTGTACTTCCCATAGCTTCAACTGTGTGAATAATGTCTGCACTCAGTCTGTTGATAGCTTGGCTGCTGGCTGGAACAGCTGGAATTTGGGAATATGCAGGATCATATCCAGCCTCAGCCACTGAGATTGCTGGATTAAAAAGTATTCTGTGTCAACTTGGAAAATCGAAAAAAAATTTCCTATGAAACCATGTAAGCTATGAAGGCAAACACCAGTATGTGCGTATTAGAAAGACAGTGCACTAATCCTGTCTAATCGGTTACAGACTGAGCATGTGGGGGCTTTGCTGGCACAGAGACCTGGCCTGTAGCATCAGCTCAGTTAAATCCCCTCTCACCAGTCTTTTTAAAGGACATAGAGTATTAAGTGCACATATTCCTAACCTACTTCAGACACACAGAATTGAAAAAAATATATTTAAAATTTAGGTATGTAGAGCCAAGAAACTCAAAAAATGGCCTTAAACTTTTTTAGGTATTATTTACAGAAGTACATGATTGTAGAGAAATTACTTTCTACAGAAAAGACAAACCTTGCAAACTTGTAAGATTTACAGAAAATTACGTTAATTACTTTGACATTGAGGAAGTGCATTGGGATAACTATCTCCTTAAGAGGTCTTTATCTTTGATATCACAAAATGTTTTAGGTGTTATTCTGTGATTGTGAACTCGTGCATTCTAATTTTAGAGCACAACCACAACCAATATTTAATATTCTATCAAAGTACATATTTTGAATTTTTGATTGAGCCTTATGCTCAACAGTTACCAAATGGACTGTTAGTTTCTTCTAAGCATCATACATCTTTTGTGCTGTATACTAGTGACAGGGGGAACTTCTGCAATTACTCAATATCACTGGTCAGTGAGTAAATGAATGACTAAATCAATACTTAGTCTATGGGGACATGCACACCGCTACAGAGACACTTTTTATTTCATTGAGCACCATAAGAGCATAGGATTCATGTATATTTTTTTCATTCACATGACCTGCCTCTAAAGATTGATTTGCAAGAAGCAGTTTCCATGGAACTAATTCTTCATAATATGTTAGTACAGACTTGGATTTTAAGGATAATGAAGTTATTATATGGTAAAATCATAGTTCATTTGGCAGAGTAATCGGCATACCAGCTGTAAGGACTTAAAGAGCACACTTGCGTGTCTCAAACATTGTTAGGGCCACAGAAGGACTTTGTCATGAGATAAGCACAGAATGAGGAAACAGAATGGCACTAACTCCAGGCCTGGTGGAGGCGAGATCCTGGTTAGAGCATCCAGACAAAAATTCCCACTGTGGCAAACTATGTAAAGAGGCAACTGCTCATACACGTATCACTGGCCAAACAAAGATCACCCCAAGTTACGGGACAGATGACATCTGTGACCACCAACATCCACTGAAGCCCCCCTGAATATGCCTCCATGGATGCTTGGAATTTAGATTGTAAATTAAGCCACCACAGAGAACTTGAGATAAGAAAAAGATGGTTTTATCTCAGACCTAGGGGGAGGTTAACAGGCTGGGGGAGAAGAATCTATCACTGATAATAGGGGTAAAGAATGCAGAACTTACAGACCACAAGGGAAGCCAACTCAGCAGCTCTGCTGAAATCATCTCAGACTTGGTAAAAGTAAATTTTGGCAGGGGGAGGTAGCAATCATTGACTCACAACCCATCGACCCAAGAAACCCACTGACTCAGAAAAATGACTGAGCATGGGACTAAATAACTTTAGAAGTGAGGGAATAATTTAACCAATAGAATAAGAGAACTTTGTAGGTAATGTGTCCTTTGCTTGTTAAATCATATAAATAGTGAAGTTTTGATTTACCTTAGAACCTCCTCCACTGAGAAGCCCAGGGTAAAGAAGGACGAATAGAAACACTCGTTGGATCCATGGGTGGTGACTATCTTCTGCTTGAACTGTCTCTCTTTCCTCCTACTCCATGCCTCTTTTCTATTTCTTTCTATTTCTCTAAATTACATTCATTGATAAATAAAATCTGTGTTAATGACTTTGGCATATGTTCTTGTTTACACCTTAATTCAGGCAGGGGCATCTCTCACTAATCAGATCTTAACACCAGCTAGGGGAAAATGCAATATTCTGGATGAATAGAGATATCTCCAAAGGAAAAAAAAAATGGATTGGAATTCAATTATTTATTGAAATGACAGAATGAGTAGCTCAGTATCTCATTATGATGCTTTTCCAAAGCCCATCTAAATGG